AGAATCAAATGTCACCCTGGGAGAACCGGGCGCGATAAAGTGCGGCTGTCCTGTTACAACACACGAGCGAGCATTCTCGTAAATATATTGCCCCACTTGAAGGCTCATTGTATGTGTTATATTCGCCCCACGAATAGAATTTTTAAGGATATATCGTATATATAGCCCTTACAAAAAGTTCTTACAAGTTAAAAATACGTTAATACTCCTATTTTAAGTAAAAACTTATGGTATATACAGAGTGCGTCAATAACTTTTGCTACTTTGAATATTTTCGAGACTGCTCTTCTTAGAAAGCATAATTACCATAAGAAGTTTCTTTCTAAGTAGAATAACTTCGAAAATCGCCTTTGCTTCGAAGATAATACTCAAGATAGTAATAGTTATCGACTCACCCTATATACGGTACAGTTGAATACATTTACGTTTACTTTAACACCTTTTTATAATTTATTTCATTTATTTTATATTATTTCTGACTCTCCCTCTCTCTTCCTTTTTTAAAACTATTATCTCTGAAGCACGATAAAATTTTGCATACATAATTTTGAATACTTAAAGTATATGTACAAGGTGTCTAACAATTAATAATATACCCGTTGTATGCACTTAGACCCTATCAAATTGTACACCAAATTTCTCTACTATTTCGCGAACAATCACGTAAAATTTTAAGTTGTTAATTAAAGAAGATTAATGAATGATCACGTACGATACGGTAGATGAGCTGATGATACGTCTGCTGTCGTATATTTGTACATATTAGGTCAAACTGAACAAAAAAGTCCTCGACCTCATTTTGCAAATAATCACGAGATGTTTAGTTATTAATTAAAGAAGATTAGCATGATTGTGCGTGATAATGTATCAGTTCTAAAGAAGCTTCCATTAGAACACTTTTAGTATCTCGAGCTTGTCTAATTCAATGAGACATCTCCACAATTATACATTCAATTATTTCTACGTAAGAAATTTAATTATCTCATAAGCACGCACACGCACTTTTTTATAACACAACGCGATATTTACACGTAACTCGATATTCCTTCGTAGGTTGTAGGTCGTCATAGAATTTTTGATTTACTCGATTATTTGGCTGCGCGACGATAAACAGCCGAAGTCTCGCCGAACGCAATTTAATCAAGTTCGGCAAGTTCGCCAGAGTGGCCAGTGTGGCGGTTGTCGGGGTCAGTACATGCATTCTATACTAGCCAGGGGAATTTTGTGGACATCACGCGGTCACTCGCTATAATATTAATAGCTCGAGTATGAAATTTGCTTAATCATGACTAACGGGATGACCCAATGGAATCACAATGGGTCGCCGCCGTTCGCCCGTCACGTCAATTTCGAATAACGATCGCTGCAGAGTTCATGTGATTAAAAAAAACCTCTGTGTAATTCGTTACAGTTTCGTATAACCATATCGATTTCAATGACACGATATTGTGCGGTTTCAAAGAAGCTTTCGCGAAATATATAATAGATTGCAATGACGATTTAATGGAGACAGAAAGTTAATCGAATTTTAAAGTGAAATCTTACTCACTGATTTACTTTAATTTAGTTAACCAACTTTCTTAATTAACAAGAAGCATTCCTACGTTCATTCTTTCCTCCCCACCCCTCTCTCTCTCTCTCTCTCTCTCTCTCTCTCTCTCTCTCTCTCTCTCTCTCTCTCTCTCTCTCTCTCTCTCTCTCTCTTTTCTCTCTCTGAGAAGCGTAAAATTTTTTCTTTAATTCTATTTATACTCAGTAACTATAAACAATCTTATTCCTAGGAATTGTATTTGTAAAGGCATATTTCAATAGGCATATTTCATAGGTATATGCCAGCATGTTTCTTTAGTATATATTATAAGTTTTACTTATTGTCAAGTAATGACAGATTGTAAATATGCTGGGAGATAATAAAAAAAAAATTCTATTTACACAATTCTTTTTCTTTTAACTTGATAGTATTAGTGATTTCTTACAAACACGTAATAAATAAGGTTATTTTGAACGACGATAATTATCTATTAAAAATTGCATATACTTAAGCACGCATCAATTATATATATAATACATATAAACTATCTTTATATTTTATCTTTTACAGTCTACAATTTTCTGTGTATGTACTTTTATACTTAACTCTCTTATTATTCTATTCTAATAATTATTACTCATAAGCTTCGCAAAGTTGTATGAATCTATCGCGAAATACTCAATAAATAATGTTTTTATACTGACAATAATATTGATAATAATTATGATTATTATAAATATAATTTATAAACTTATTATAAAGAGCTACTAAGATACTGAGAAGGAATATTTGAGAATTTATTTCTGGAATATAAAGTTTATTTCTGTGAGGTAAACTTTTATCTCACAAATAAATTTTCAAGTACTTTTTCTCAGTGCATGTAAGTAAATGACAGAGAAATTCTCAGACATTCGTAAGAAGTGATTCTCTTCGCTGAACAAAACGAATACTTTTGTGAATATTTTTCCTTGGCCACATCTCTAATGGTCAGTAGCATTTTCTTGCTTAATTAGCGTGAGTAATGCCACGCATTTGACCATTTCGTATCTGTGGTCAGAACAGTAAAAAGATGCCACGCCAGAAGAAAACCCGGACGTTAAAAGTAGGAATGACAAATTCGAGGAGTCGGGAAAACAAAGCGCGGCCAAGAGACGGAAATTACGAAAAACAGTGAAAAATGTTCATTAGTTACAGGGAATCAAGTGCGTCCATTTTCTTCCTGACTAAATCGTCCCGGTTATATCTCAGACTACGCGAGAAATACATTTATGTTCATACTTTCTTGTATACTGTATATTCTACTTTGCATTATATGTTATTGCCACGATAAATCAATTTAAAATCTATCACTTGCGAAAAAAAATATTAGCGGAAATAAAAGAAGTCTATGATTGTTCCTTTTTTCTTATTTCATTGATATTTCTTATTTACATGATATAAAACGTAGATCAGATTTTTTAATGCAAGTTATATGAAGAGATGAAATTGTATAAAGAGAAAACATAATGCTTATATTTTTGCTTATATTTTACGATTTCTAACGCAATATTGCCACTTGCTGCACTTATATCCCATTGTTACCGATTATTGTTGTACCTATCACTCGCATTTACTTTTTAAAAGTAAAAAAGGATAAAAATAAGAGAGAGAGAGAAAGAGAAGCTAGGTTGTAGAGTGGACTATTAATAGAGGAAATAATAATTCTTAATGAACAATCAGGTTTACGCACTTTTGGAAGCTAAAATGTTTTCGCAAAAACAGATCAAATCACTAATTCTACCCACACAACACAACATCTAAAATCAGGATATAAGAAGTTTCTGAGATATTTTAAAAACGTATCTCGGAATATAAGACGACTTATGTCCCGACTTTAAACGTTGTTGGGTGGGTAAAAAACTGCGTTACTAGAAGCATGTACCATCGGAAAGAGGAAGATTGATGATTTCATACGAACAACATATTTACGCGGAGTTTATCGTACAATTACATTTAAATTACATTTTAATTACATTTTATTATTGTACGATAAAATATGCGTGCGACGTAATTAATATATTTATGTAAAGAAAATGTAAAATGCTTTGATCGATTCGAAATGTTCGATAACTACTGTTAATCTTAAAAGACGTGGATTGTGTATATAAACGAAATGAATACACTTGAAATCGACAATAATAGTATACCAATAATGTATCGTTGAATTGAGTCCTACATACCTCAGCTTTCCATCATTGCTTTTCAAGACTTTCTTTTGCACACCAAACCGCGCGAATCGTCCCTTATAGAAGAGAATCGACATGAACTATCGGATTTAAAAAGATGTTGCACACGATGTCAATTGATCTGCAATATACGACAGTTCTATTTTCTTTTTCTTTTTATCGCAAAACACTCCACATCAATTTCTACGAGATAAACTTTCATCTCACAAATAATTTTTCAAGTATTTTTTCTCAGTGCATATAAGTAAATGACAGAAATTCTTAGACATTCGTAAGAAGTTATTCTCTTCGCTAAACAAAACGAATATATTTGTGAATATTTTTTCTCGGCCACATCTCTAATGACCAGTAGCATTTTTTTGCTTAATTAGCGTAAGTAATGCCACGCGTATACCAATACTGTATCATTGAATTGAGTCCTACATACCTCAATCAGCTTTCCATTGTTGCTTTCTTTTGCACACCAAACCGCGTGAATCGTCGCGTTATAGAAGAGAACTGATATGAACTATTGGGTTCGAAAAGGTGTCGCACGATGTCAATTGATCTGCAATACACGACAGTCCTATTTTCTTTCTCTTTCTATCGCAAAACACTCCACATCAATTTCTGCGAGATAAACTTTCATCTCACAAATAATTTTTCAAGTATTTTTTCTCAGTGCATGTAAGTAAATAACAGAAATTCTCAGACATTCGTAAGAAGTTATTCTCTTCGCTGAACAAAACGAATATATTTGTGAATATTTTTTCTCGGCCACATCTCTAATAACCAGTAGCATTGTTTGCTTAATTAGCGTAAGTAATGCCACGCGTATACCAATACTGTATCATTGAATTGAGTCCTACATACCTCAATCAGCTTTCCATCGTTGCTTTTCAAGGCTTCCTTTTGCACGAATGCATGCGGATCGTCCTTTATAGAAGAGAACCGACATGAACTATCGAGTTCAAAAAGATGTCGCATGATGTCACTTGATTTGCAATACACGAGAGTCCTGTTCTTTCTATCAGCTCTAACGCAAAGTACTCCATATCAATTTTATATACACAATTATTTCGACTACTCATAAAAATGAAACCCATCTCAATTAACTTCCTTAAAAACCTGTTAATATATTACAAGTACTACATTGTTCCTTCGAACCACTTTGTTTATTCGATTTTCCTATAATATTGATACAAGAAGAGGAATGTTTTTTCTCTGTTTCAACCAATTCCTAGTCGATAAAGTAGAGAGCCGGATTTATCGGTAGCGCGGAGGTTCATCAGAAAACACGCGTGTGATTTTTGTATGCGAGGATTGCCGGAAAGAGCCCATGCCTTGGTTAAAGTATGGCATTTGCGACGCGAAGTCTACGAATTTTATGCAAAATATATAATGGTAATACGGGAGTAACACGTTTCGTACTCCAGCGACCGATCGGTCGGACATCGCTCGTTCAACTAGCGCAAAAATACTGTTATAGTACCGAGAGTAAGTACGACCATAACCTCTGCGCATGGATCGTAATCTCTGAGAAACCTGGATATTCTGTTGTTTTTTACGAAATAATATTAATTTTAATTTACGAGATAAATGCAGTTTTTATCAGTAATAATCAAAAAGAAAAAGAGAAACATTTTCAATATTCAGTAAATAAAAAGTTTATGCTACACAATAGAAAGTCGTTTATTTCAATTCATCAATATTTATTAAAAATGCTTCCAATATAATTTCTGTATATATTTTACTATACATAATAATAAAAAAAGGTGAGACCATCATCTTTACTTTAAAATACCTAACTCTTATGCAGGAATAAAATTATATAATGTATATTTACTTTTCATACAAAAGTATATTTTTTGTTTGTCCTCAGCTACAGGTCGCTCAAAAATCACTAATAATCTAACAAATATACAGTCTTCAATAAGTGAAGCAGAATCATTGGCACAGGAATCAGCAGCTCATACAAAGCAAAATGAACAAGCAAAAGAAGAAGAAGACAAAGCAAGTCGTGCGAGAGCAAAGAAAATGATGAATTATGGTTTTATAGCCTTTGGTGTATTTATGGGTGTTGGCTTCACTTATGTAATATATGAATTAGGAAGACCTAACTATGATAAAGATGGGAATGTCATTGAGGATGAATTTTCCAATCTACCATTCTTTGAACAGATTTATAAGAGAGTCAGGAGAGAGCTCAATTATTATACAAAAGTACTTTTTTGATATTTTTATAATTGTCTTAAAGTTAATGTTAGTTTTGTTTCTTACACTAAATTATTTATATGGCTCTTATTTATAGCTGGTACAGGAACCTAGTAGGGAAAAGTTACTTCCTGATCCACTGAAATATCCCTTTATACAGCCACCATATACTTTAGTCTTGGAATTGACAGATCTTCTCGTGCATCCAGACTGGACAGTAAGGGTCTAATCTGTGGAAATTTCATATTATATTTATGACTAATGCATTTCTTGATTTAATATATTTAATTTGTACAGTACCAAACAGGATGGAGATTTAAGAAACGGCCTGGAATAGACCAGTTTTTAGAAGCAGTAGCACCACCACAATTTGAAATCGTAGTTTATACAGCTGAACAAGGATTGGTAATTATATGATATATATTTATTAATATCCTCTTATTATTCTTTAATACTACTGCATTTCCATGTAGTAGTATTAAAGAATAATAAGGAGGGAATTTATCTAGCATAAAGAAAGCCTCTTGGAATCTCTATCTGGAAGAAAGTAACATGTAATAATTTTAATTACAGACAGTGTTTCCTATCTTAGATGCACTCGATCCACATGGATACATAATGTACAGATTAGTTAGAGATGCTACGCGTTTTGTAGATGGTCATCATGTTAAGGATCTAGCAGCTCTCAACCGCGATCTTAGTAAAGTAATTATTGCAGCGTTATACATCTTTTTTGTTTACTCTTTATATCTATAACGTTTCTATATCAATTTTCTAAATAGGTTATTGTTATCGATTGGAATGAAAAGAGTGTGAAAATGAATCCAGAAAATGCATTCAGAATTCCACGATGGAGTGGAAACGATGATGATACTACGCTGTACGATTTAGCGGCATTCCTAAAAAGTAAGATTGATCTCAAAACTACTCGTTTCAAAAGTCTCGTATAATTCCTGCAAATACAATTTTCTTGTTTTATGAATGTTAGTGCATTATATTGGCTGATAAAGGCATAATATATTTTATTCTTTAGCGATATCAACATCGAACGTGGGAGACGTACGAGACGTTCTAAATTATTACAGACAGTTTGATAATCCGTTGGAGACGTTTAGAGAAAACCGGCGAAAATTATTGGTAAGTTATTGTGAAAGATCTCGCGTATAATTATTTTTTAACTGTAACAATAAATAATATTATAGCAGATGCAAATGGAAGAGGAACAAAATAAGGCCCAACAAGGAAGTGGTCAAGTACTTACCTCGAGATGGAAACCATCTTTCTTACGAAACCGCTAGTCAAAGTGAACGAGTCACATTGAAATTATAAATGCATGTCTTTTAAATATGAGATACAAGAACGTTTGAGGAAACTCCCCGGGAGAGATATCACTCATTGTATAATTTTTATTATAATAAAATAAATAAAATTCTAATTAATAAAATTCTAAGTTTTATATTTTATTTATTCATGTACTCTCATATAGATATATGTGTATGTATATAAAATTATACGTGCATCTATATGTCCATATACAGGTCATTTAAAAAAATGCATATTCAAAAATACGAGTTTCAAATAATATCACAGTACTTTTCTATAGTGGTTCTTTTCTATAATGTGTAGTAAAGCAAATTGTTCAAGTGTTCTTTTTTCTAATTGGTTTTGATATAACTTTTGGCAGCAATATTTCTTGCAGCATATTGGTGTCGTCAATACATGTGATATCTTTCTCTTGGGATACACTAATTAATTCTTGAGTGTTAATAGGTGTAAATGTATATTCGGGCTCGTCCTGTGATTGCGTGGTATGTTGTGAAGTTGACGATTCCAGCCAATTCAATACTTTCTGATGGGGCGCCGCGGATAAGGGTATTGGTACTTCCTCGCATATGTCCCAAACCATAAGAAGTTCTGGCGCTAATATGTCGATATACGATCCCAGCATGGATAACGATTGTTTCCAAGTTGGCTCGAAAGGATCGTCCATAATTTCTTCGGTAGTTTTCAAACGGAGCTTTCTATTCGTAAAATCTATAAGATTATTCCGATTATTTTCACACATCACACGAAAGCTCAAGTGAGCGTATTTAAAGTTAAGACATGTTTGCTTACTTTTGTATATATGTTGCATATTATGCTTATTGGTAAGCGTTAAAGGCACTAGTGGCTCAGCTTGTGCTGCCAGAGTCTTCTCCCACACACTTAACGCATAACACGCCTTGCTATTTACCTGTGAATACTTATCCAATACAGTTTCGTGTGTTATACACTGATAAAATATATCACCTGAAAATAAATATATTTACATTAAGATGATAACAAAGTCCCGTGAGACATGATAGTAAAATATTGAAAAAAAAAAGATATTTCGCTATAAAATAAAGAATTAATTGTACCGATCGAATTTTGAACGAAGTAGGACACTTCCCCTTTTGTATTTGTGACTAGTGTACTACCAACGTTGCACAAATCAAATCTACTTCGTATATACGGGTCCAAACACATTCCTCTCATTTGAGCCTCGTTCAACGTTTCCGCGATATATGGAGGTGTAAAGGGCAAATTAAAGGAATGAGACTCCTCCATTTTCGTCCAAGTATTCAGAATTATTGCATTTTCACCAGCTATCTGACTTGACAAGACAACTATTTCCTTATCATTGCTGTAATTAATAGATAATAATTGTACTTGCAACATAATACATTGCACCCACGCGGGTCGTTCCCTCTCTCTTGTCGGAAAAAAGAATACAAAGCGGACAAGAAGGATCGGGATGCAGAACACAAGTATCGGTGTTGTTTCTATCCCCTGGAAGATGTCTAATTGGGACTTGTAAGAACGGTGCTCATAGGATAAGCAGCAGCTCAGGCAGGAAATCATTTTGGTATCCTAGAGTCAGCGTTTTGGACAATTATAGAGAATTTTTTATCTCCCCGGAATCTTTTTGAATTGTCGGAACGACAATGGTTACGTTCAGCAGAGAAAGCTGCTTTGCAATTGTTGAAAAATTCGTGAATCTGATTGGAGTATGCTCTTAATTTTGGTTAAATCCAAGAACATGTATCAATCAGATTCACAAATTTTACAATAATTGCAAAGCAGCTTTCTCTGCTGAACGCAGCCAATTTTTAAAGAAGGGGTTTGCATCCACGCTTTTGCGCGGGTCAGTCAAAGGATCGACAGAATGAAGTTGAACAGATGAAATGGCAATTCCTGTGACAACGTAAATAAACAACAACTAATAAAAGAGTCACACGAACTATCGCGTTAAGTTGACGTAAAGCAAGCGAAAGTGCGATATTACAACTTTTCCGACCGATATTCTTCAGTGCGATAAAGGCTATAAATACAAGCTTATTAAATGCTAACTTAATTCTCATTAACGAGTCTCTTGTTTATCACCCGGACGTGCACACGAAAGATTATTATAATTAGATTATAATTATATTATAATTATATTATAATTATTATAATTAGATTTCTCATCAAAATATTCATTACCTGTTCGTTACAGTCATCAATAGTGGAGTACTTTTAAATTGATGCGTCCATTTTTGCTGTACACATTGCTTCGGAGAACGATTATCGCACATCAACAGAGAATGAGATGTACCAACATATCGACAGGAACTGTTTCTACTCGCCGCATCCACTGAAAGGTTCTCGCAATTTTCTAAATGTGATTTCGGACACAATGTGAGACTCGGATGATCAAAAGAAGTCTGTGAATAAATTTAATAATATTTTAAGAAAAAATTATAGACAGAAATATTTGCATATCAACATATATAAACATTATTATATAATATTGCTATATATAACAATAATAATAATAATATAAAATAATATAATTAATATAATAATAATATATATAATATTGCTACATAATATTAATTTCTGGAATATTTAATTGTGTGAAATAAAAGTTAACTAAAAATTCTTGTATCTTACTCTCATATCAAAATAATGTAAACAACATCGGTCCATATAAATCAACATATTCGAATCTCCTTGTTGAAATCTTATACTTCCCCAAGCGTCGTGAGTCTTATTTTGCAATAGAGAACCACTGCTGATGTAATTCCTAGACAAAAATAAACTATCATTGCAGACACGATAAATTGTGGCAGAAAGATTGAAACAAAGAAATAAACTTACGCTCTAGTTATATCCCACAAAGATAATATCTTTTCTGCGTTTAGTGTACAATGATAATTAACATTAGTTAAACTCAAATCAGCACTCACGTATGGTATTTTTGATGCTTGCCTATGAATTTCATTAAACTTTAATCGATCTTCAAAGTTTGAGAGCATATAGAGAGTACACTGATTTTTATGCCTTCCCAAAATTCTGCCTAAAATATAAAAATTCATATAATGATAAGTGTTTTGATACATTACAAAGTCATATTAAATGTAAGACTATCACATACACGTATTATCAATGCTACTTTGTCTAATTTCATACAATTTTCCATGTAGTTTGTATTTAGCTGAATTTTGCAATAATGGCTTCCATATGGAATCTTCCATAGATACAATATTTGCAGCAACTAAAAATATTTCAAAATGCAATGAAAATTTAAAAAATGTCATAACTGTCAAAGATCTGCAGATACTTTTGTATGTAAAACAATACCTAAATCTTCCATAAATGGAAACAACAGGACATCCCAGTTATTTAATTGAATGTAATTCAACAGTCCACCAGTATAATACCAGTTATAAGTCTAAAAAGAGATATTTTGCTATTATATACATAAAATACCTGGATTATTATTATAAATTTATTTTGTGATATATTTAAATATAATTAAATATAATTAAATTATTGTTTCCAACAATGTATTTTATGTATTACTTTTCAAAGTATTTGTACATTTTATCTAATAAAAAACAACTATTATATAACTTTCAAATATAATTTGAAAATATAATTGAAAATATAATTCAAGAATCATACTCCTTCAAAATAAGGATCAGGATCCATTTCAATTAGTTCTGCTATATCTGCAATATACTTGGGTATTTTTGCATTATATCCATCACTTCCTCCGTTCCATTTTAGCTTTTTCTTCTGTATTACATCAAAATCTAGCAAAAAATGTTTTATAAAGTCAATATAAAATACAAAAATTATAAAATTTTTATGTGCAGACCTTTCTTGTGTTTTTTATAATAATTCATTATCCTGGTTATATCATCTTTTAAGTGGCTTTTGAGAGTAAGAAGTTGTAAAGCTGGATCTTCTTCACTTAGTACTGTTTAAAAAGAAAATATATATTTTCTAAATATTTAACGCAGTTAAAATATTTTAAAGGCTATAAAATATATAATTGCAAGATATTTTTCAAAAATAAGGTACTTGTAAAATATTTCAGAAAAATCAATCTTAAGAAAAATTACACTCTAAAATAAAGCTTATATTAAACTACCTGTTCTTGATAATTTTGCTGGTGGCAATAATGGCTTTGGTAGCTCACAATTGTATGGGAAATCTTGAAAGAGTCCTATTGCATTCTCCTCATTCCATTCCTCAATACATATTGACTTGTTCCTGTTATAACCTGGCATTAGATGATGTGAATAGTTCTTCATAAATGCTTTGCTCAACTTGTTTTGTAAATTGTTCTCAGCTCGTTTGAATGTTTTTGATTGTTGTGTATTCATGGTTAGGTTAGTTTTATTAACTTTCTTCACTTTCTCTTTCGCACATACACGATAGAAGATTGTACTTAGTTTTTTTTTAATATTTCTTAAATATAATGTTCATAAAATATAAATATTAACCACTCTCTTTCACATAAATATCTTCACAATCTTGAAGAATGTTCTCATCAAATATTTTTTTAAAACTTTATATTAAATATATTAAATATATTAAATATTATATATCGTGCTATATAACTCTCTTTTTTCCTTGGTGCTTACTCTATACAAGCAAATAAAAATAAAATCGTCGTTCTTTATTGTGGGAAAAACTTGTTCCGTGAGAAAAACGAGAGTCAAATTTTGCAAGGTTATGAAACCTGACATACCGACCGAATAACCACAATTCTATATTCACGATTAGACAAATGCGGCTCATAGAATTGATCAGTATGGTAATATCAAACAACTTGACCGACTTCCGTAAACGCGTGAACCACGCCGAGGAGAGACACCGCGACACGCAACGTGCGAAGACACGCTCGAATGATAACTAGTGATAACCGTCAGTGATTGGCCAATGAAAAATAAGCGATGGTCGCGGGAGACCACTTCCGCGTGCGGGCTTCCTACGGTACTGCTTGGCCAGGAGATTGTTTACAAGTGCAGTGCTCTCGCGTATATTGCACGGCGTGCGGTGACGTAGAGGCGTGAATCGCGCGAGTGCGTATAAACGCAGTAGCAGCAGCAGTGATTGCAACAGTAATAGCAACAGTGCCCGTCTCGGTTCCCGTTCGATTCCCCCCGTTGAGGGATGTGCGCGTCGCCGCGCGCTCCTCCCGTACTCGTCGTCGCGCGCGCCGCGACGCGATAGCCCGCGCGCGGTGTAGTATATCGTAGTATACAACACCGTGACCCACTTGTTGCGTCTAGGTTATGGCGTTATAAACAAAAATATGCTGCGCACAGACGCGTCCAGTCACACGACTGTTCACTCGTGAGCTGGTGGGCACAGGGCATGGAGGCGGGCCCGGGCCTGAGCCTGTTCCAGGGCTCGGACAACATACAGCTGAACGCGGCGATGCAGGGCCACGAAGAGGATGAGGAACAAGAGGAAATCAAACGGCGCGACAAGGAGGTACGTCGCGGCTTGCTCGGTCCACGAGACAATTTCCTCGCGGAAGATTTTCACGGTGTACCGCGTCGAACTGTGACCTGCGATGGACAGACCAAGGGGTTCTTCTGTGGAACCCCACAGTTACAGAGTTTTGCCGCGCAAGAATTCTATGAATATTCTATATATATCATTACGATCTACGGTATAAGGTAAATGTCCCAATAATTGAACCTTGTTTGATGATCAAAGTATTAAAAATATATTTTTATGTAATATTTCTAAAAAAGTTTTTGAAATTTTGTTAAAATATATTTCTTTATATAGTCTCTTTCCAATTTATAATATTATTTAATGACTACTTAATTACTAAGTCTATTGTTCAGTGATTAGGACATGATTCATTTCTCAGTTCAATTGCTACAACTGGCATTATCTAATGTATCTCCTCAAAATTATAATTAATATTTGTATGTTAATCATTTTATTCCCTAATATTTTTTTATTGCTGACACATCAAGATTTTATATAAATTTTAGTTTTCTTTGCAATTTTACTGATTACTTATTGATAAAAATACAAAACTGCTTTCTTATTAATTTAGTTATTAGGACATCTATCTTAAGTGGAAAATATTGTATAAGGTCCACTGCGTAGGATTCTGTGAAAGACACATTATATGATACATGTGTTATTTTCTGCACTGGGGAAATGATTTGTGAAGTCCGCTGTGTAGAGTTTCTTCATCAAGTAATTTATTCTCTGTAATAAATCAAAGAAAGTACATAGGAAAATTTTGTCCTATGAGACTCTGCATGTTGAGAACTACGATATATTAATGTTTTCTACAATGGAAGAACAATATATAAAGGTTACTGTGCATAATTTCTTTGTAGAAAACTTTTATGTGCTTTGCGATAAGAAAGAAGGTTGAAAAATGTGCATGAATATCCCTGCAATAATGCATGTTTTTGTTGTCTCACCAGATCCAAGATCGCATGAAGAATATATTTGACGGTTTGGAGGACGATGACGATGCCAGTTCTATTGAGAGTAGTTACTACCAGGACAGTGTCAAAGACACAGACCATATCAATACAGCGATCAACTCTAGCCTGCAATTGGCAACACCTACCATGGAACAGGTGGTGCAATTACAGAAGGATTTTGCTGTTAGCAATAGCGTGGAGAATCTGAACAATTATGATCTCGATGGGATGACGAATCACAGATCAGATTCCGACGTGGATGGTGGTGGTAATGGTGGTGGAATAATGCAGCCCAATGCGACAAGCGAATTTCACTTGCACAGACCAACGGGGACCCCGTTTGTCAACAACCGATCGAACGACAGCAACAGTACTATGCTGGAAACACCATACGAATTGACAAAACCCCCGAACGCTGGATACACCCGTAAGATGTATCACAAGCAGGTCGAGGAGTGCACATTCGGGGAGAATTATCCTTACATCTACGAAACACCGTCGAGTCATTATAACACGCATCCGAACAAGTACTCGAACAACGGTTTCGCGGACAGATATCAGAATAATGTACAAAGCAAGCAGACTCACGAGTTCGGAGGAGGCGACAACGCTACCTCGGATCACATGAACCACTGCTATAAGACTAGTCCAAATGGCAGACCAACGGACGACAATGTAGCGTACAAAACTGCCGAATACGACAGCAAAGAGCAACTGGAAGTGATGTATATGGTGCGAACGAGGGAGATTGAGCGTTTGACGGAGGAGCTGCAGCAGTTACAGATAGAAAAAGAGGACGAGAAGAATCAATTGGACAGGAAATTAATGCTACTTCAAACGGAAGTTAGCAGAACGAACATCTCAAAGAATGAAGCGCAACAAGCTCTTGGTAAGATTTAAGGAGGTTGTAAGGCAAAATGAGTTTGTTAGGAATTGTAGTTTCTGCTATATATAAATTGTAATATTATTTAACTGCTTGTGCAATCGGAAAAAGATTGACCACTCGAAAGTTAAGATGTTGTAACTTAAGATTGACACTTTTTATGTGTCCTTGAGGTTAGCCTGTGTGATATAAAATTAAAGTTACTACAGAGAATTAAAATGGCACTGAAATTTTATTTCAAGGCAATTAGAAAATATATGAAAATTTATGTCTTTAATATTTTAGTTGATGCTAAGGCTGAGATAGCTAATCTGCAAATGCAAATGGAGTCTCTGAAAGAAAAGAACGCGATTTTGGAGAAGACAAATCAAAATGTAAAATATATTTGTGCTTTACTCTGAAATGTTGACATTCGATATCCTGGTGTTTATCGACTTTATTTTTACAGGTGACAGAAGAATTGAATATCGCGAGGGGCTCTGTTATGGATCTGCAACAGAAAATTGCCGTATTGGAAAGAGCACAGGCATTGCAGACGAATGACAAGATGCACGAAAAATTTCTAAAACAGGCACAAGAGAAACACGCGGTCGAAATGAGAAATATGCAGACACAAATAGACGTTCTCACAGACAAATTAAACGCCAAGGTATCGTTAAACTCTTCGTTTAAATCGTGCGTTATACTTCACATACATATTTTCTCTATAATTATGTTTGTCATAGCTACATAATATGGACACCAGCAACAATAGTATTTGGGCAAGTTTCTATCGGTTATTTTTGCATTTGCCAAGTTATATCCCCATAATAGCTTATACCTAGTGTATTATATTTTTATAAGTATTCCCCCGCTTTTATATGCACACACATACACGCGTGTCTATGTAATTCTCTCATAATACGCATATGTACTTAAAACTACACGATATAATAATGTAAACTTGATTATTTTATAAATATCGCTTTGCACAATTAACTTTAATACAATTAGTACAACTTTAATTTTTGTATCGTTTAATTTGTATATGTACAACAGGAAACGTCATATGTCGCTCTTGAACATAAATTAGACGATGTACGAAGAGCGCACGAGACTCTCATGGTCGAAAAGGGAGATAACATGAATCGACTGGCACAAGCGTTGGAGGAAAGTCAAACTCAATGCCGCAATCTTATGGCCACGAATAGTGCCCAGCAAGTGATGCAATTACAAGCGCAGGTGAAAATGTTGAGTCAAGAAAAAGAAGAGTTGCACAAAAACATAAACGAATTACAGGTAATTAAAAAGATTCTATCGCCAATTTTGTGCTTTATATATAAGAAAGACCAATTGCAAGAAACCGATTCATGGACAAAATTTCCATTATAAAACTGTAGAACAAACTAGAAGTGGCTAAGAATGACGTAGCGCAATACGATTCATTGCTCGCTTTAGAAGACGAATCTGATTCGATTAGACAGATGAAATTAGGTGAACTTCATAATAAATTAAGGTCGAAACCTACTGACGACATTATGAATAAATTAAAGGGCGAACTACAGAGGTAATTAACACTTAATTATGAAACCTAAGTCTGTTACTAATTATATATATATATATATATTTGGTTTTTTTTTTTTGTTTGCTTGAAAGTATTATACTAATTTCTCCACTTATTGCTAATACGTGCGATGTTATATTTACATTTACGATGTTACGTCTCATCAGGTGCGTGGCTAATCAAGCTTTAAAAAGAAAAGAAATAAATCGTTTGGAGAACACTTTGTCTCAACGAGAGAAAGAGTTAAGTAAAGCCATGATAGCGAGCGAGTCGTGTCGCCAGGAAGCAGCACGATATGCCAAACGAGTTAACGAATTAGAACAAGAGCTGAAGTCTGTGTTAACAGATCAGGCTATGAAAGCGAATGCTCAAATACAAAAGTTGTCTGACCACTTGAACGACGTGAAGACAAAATATGAATTGTTACGCGACGAAAAAATGAGCTTAGAACAAAAATTGGAGGAAACTTTAGCTGTTAATCAAGAAACACTGAAAAAATTGCATCAAGAGACTATGGAACAACAAGAGAAAGAAACTATCGATGAGTATAATAAAGAATACTTAGAAATACATGCTAAGGCCATAGAGAGAGTAAAACAAGAAGCACAAGTGGAGATAGTACAATTATCGTGAGTATTTACCATTTTATATATAAACCTTAAACTAGTCTTTTTCAATGTTGTTAAAAATTGTAATAATTTTAAAATAAGTACGCGCTTAAATAAAATCGTTACGTAAAAATATGGCTTTTACTTTTAGTGTACAACTAGAGCAAACGGAAAAAGAATTAGATCGTGTAAAAACATTGTACATAGACGTTTGCGGAACGAAAGAGCAATTAATAAACGAGCACAAGAATGAGCTCAAAATGTTAAAGAATAAATACGCTACGATAGAATCTCATCAAAAGAATGTAGATAAATTGGAAAGCGAACTGCAAATACAAGTTAAACAATGTAGTAAGCTAACCAACGAATGTGAATCTTTCAAGAATAAAATAATCGAACTTGAGAAAAATCTGGCTCATGAAAGAAGAAAGAAGGAGGATCATACGAGAAGAATACATTCAGAGATAGAGAGAGGTAAGTATTGAATCGTATGAAATAAGAGGCGATATAGACCTTACATATAAAATAATTTCATTGATGTTTTATTTTAAGCAAAAGAAGAAGCGTTAAATGAACTGAGAAATGCGCACCCAAATCAAGAAGTAAGCTTTCGCCTGCCGGATCATTGTTCTGAGCATCTCGAGAAAATTAATCAAGTATAACCGAATTTTTACAAATACAACTTTATTAGAGGTTTTAATAAGATTTGTGGCACTTTAAAGGAGAATGTTAAAAAAGTATCGATTTTGGCCTGCAAATGTAAACTGAATACATCTTGAAAATTCATTGTTTGGATTCATTGTTTTCAAATTATAGGAAATAACTATTATTTGTCCAAAAAGTGGTGGGAGCATTACTGGAATGGTTTAAAAATAGTAAAAAAAATGACATTATCCACATATGTAATTTTAATAATTGAAAAATATGATTCTAATCTTATAAGTACATTTTGCATGTAAGGATCGCGGCAATTTAGCACTACCCAAGATGCATTACGTGGAAATACAAACTGTCTTTGGCAGAAACTCCACTGTTCACTCTTGTGGTATTTAGTGACTTCAAACCCTCTCTGCTGTGCGTGTGAAGAATCATTATTAGTATCAACGATTATAAATCGACTTTTTTAACATCCTCCTCTGATCAAGCTTTATCTATGTTACTTATCTATATATATTTATCTATATATTATAATTTTGCTTTCGTGTACGACATTTCCAAAAAATATTTTATTCTGTTACAGCTACAAGAAGATTGTAAACGTTTGGAAGAGAAACTTCAAATCGCTATGCAGGAGCAGAAAAAATTATCCGAATATCAAACTGAATTGGACGATGCTAAATTAAAGATAGCACAGGTGGAAATTTCGCAAGAATCCTGGAAGAAGAAATACGAGAATACAGTCAATGAGAGGAACGATCTCTTAGCTAATATTTCCAAATTGAATTTAGAATTATCGAATCTGAAACGTACAGCAAAATTGGAAGACTTGGATGATGTGAAGTTGAAAATTACTCGTTTTCAAATGGAGAATGAAGCGCTGAAAAGTCGATGCGACAGTCTGCTCGACGAAAAAAACACGTGTAGAGAAAAAATCGGCGAACTGGAAACGGAATTGTCCACCACGAAGAAGAAAATCGGTAGCCTCGAAACTAGGATACGAAAAAGCGGTGATATCTCATTGAATTCGAAAAGCGAATTAGAAAAGGAGCTTTCTCATTATAAAGATTTAGTCGCACAATTGTCTAGGCTAAATAATTCGAAAGAAGGACATATGAACGGATCGGTGCTGGAACAAAGGATACAACAACTCGAGCAGGATTTGTATGACAAGAACGAGAAACTGAATAGGCTGAAGGATCTCGAGAAGATTAAAGACGAACGAGACGAACTTGTCATAAAGTTACGCGATCAAGCTAAACAGTTTCAACAATACGTAAAAAGTCAAAACCAAGTATCAGAGTTGAATCTGTCGCCTCGTAGCGTAACTGATAGCGCGGATCTTCAGAAAATGAAAGAAACCACGGCGAAAGAAGTGCGAGAAGAAATGGAACAAAAAGTAGTAAAGGAGCTAAGGGGGATTGGAGAGCAACATCTCGAGAAGAGAAAAGAATTGGAGCAGAAATACAAAACTCGATTGTTAGAATGGCAAACGAAGTATAACGAGAAGGATCAGGATACGAAAACCCTACAGAAGGAGTTGATAGCAGAGAAGATGAAAATCGGACAGATTAGTCAAGTTAGTCAAACTATGAAGAACAAACTGGAGATCTGCAATCGAGAACTACAGACGCGCATCGAGAAGCTGGAAGAAGATCTGAAACAAAAAGAGAACGAGATCGAGGAAGAGAAAAACTTGATGGCCCAAATGATAACTACATGGGTCGACGAAATTAATAAAATTAAAGCTAGAGAGATAGAGATGAACCAAGAGATACATAACCAGAAATCTAAAGAGGAAGAGTTGGGTAACGAGATTAAAACGCTGAAAGATAAAGAGAAAAGCATAAGGAGCGATATAGATCTATGGAAACAGAAATATCAAAGGGCGAAAAAAACTGCGTACAAGTATAAGGTAAATATGTGAGAACCGGTATTTATCAGTGATCTTCTCAAGAATTGATTGTATCGTGCAAATCGTAATGCTTTTACAATTTCAGAATTACGCCGAACAGAGGAAAAATTTCTTGTCGGATGAATGCAAACGTATCGAGAACGGATACAAAAAGGCCATAAATCAAGTACAACAAAACTTTCAGGCGCGGGAGGAACGATACGTCTCGAAAGTTAAAGAACTTGAACATCAGTATACAGAAAGAATGGAACAAATGCGACTTACACTAGTACAAAAATAAATGTTAAAGTACGTACTAAGTATTCTCTCAGTATGCAATATAGTTTTTTTCTTCTTGGCGTAAGAAACGGTAAAGTGTAGTTACAGAGGCTAGGTATTTTCTTTAATTTAAAGCACTATATTGTACAACATCTTAATATAACAGAGATTTTGCGCGTTAGGGACCAATATATACGTAGACAAAATTCATATATCAGTAGAATTATTATTACCACGTTCGCCGGCTTCGATTTTCGTCGAAGTAGCAGGACGTGAATATAGTTTTATAGTTAAACGTCTGAAGTACAAGTATTTGATTAATCATCATCCGAGCATTCTAACTGGATAGGAAGATTTATACATATTGTTAGTTGATACGACGAATGCAATTAGGGCTGTAAAAAAGGAAGAATAGGAAGAAATCGCTATAATGTTATATCGTAATTTTATAACGCATCTGTAATTTATAAAGCGAAAAGAGATACAATGTAAACTCATGAACAAAAGAAGAAAAGCTTTAGTTACGTTTTTCTACCATGCATTATGACATAATATGATATTGCAAGACTGGATCTTTATTGGATCTTTCTCTCTTTTTTTCGCTCATGAAGTTAGAGTAGAGAGAGTTTTAAAACATAGATTTTAAGAGAAACTTTAATCCTCCTTGCCTCTTCTATACGTCAAACAAAAAAACTATTCCGACATAAGTCATTGCTAACAATGTTTACTTTTTGAGTATTAGGCGTCTATTTACATTTTATACATACGTCACGCTAAGATAATCTCTATCAAGATTGTTCAAAATGCGACTCTTTTACAATATGGAAACTTGCTCTACTCGTAACAATTTTTATATAACTGGACGAAATCTCTAAATTGTATTACAAATTTTTAATATGTTAGGCAGCAGGACTGAGTAGCGAAGATCTGCGTTATACTTTAGGTGTGTATATTTAAGTAATTATAATTGCTCTCTCTCGGACGTTTAAAGTATCCAAAGGTGTTCAGTATCATCTCTTTTCTTAGAAGATTTTACGTGAAGCACCTCTAATCAAATGAAACAAGATGTCATAATTCGTCTCTCAATTTTTACTTTGCTTATTTCTTATGATATTGTGTGCAATCTCCAATCGCCAATTATAAGAAACTTATCGATATCGGCAAATCGCGAAGTATAATATAAATTAAATGCGCCTGTATATCTAGAATTTTGGTAAGAATGTTCGACATAATGATACATCGCGCGTGTCGTACGTTTAAATAAGTAATTATTAACTTACCAGTGTCACTGGATATAGAGAGTATTATTAATATTAATTAGTTATGTATTTTTGTATGTAGAGTCATTAATTTATTTTTTTGTAATAAAGAATTTTATGTCTCTGTCGAAATATCGTTTTTTGCTGAGAGATAAAGTAGTGATACAACTAATAATTAAGTGTTGAAAGACTGTGTCGTCGGTACGTGTATGTAGTGGAAAGAAAAATGCAATGATAAAAATAAGTACATTAAACATTATTTTCAGACCATATTAATAACTATGAAATAAACTAACTGCACATTAGAAAAATAGGAATAACAAATCTTCGCATATCTAGTCAATTTTATAAAATTTAATTTTATATAATTAATTTTTATATTAAATTTTATATTTATTAGTTTTATAAAATTAAAATATGACCATATGGCCAAGACTTGGCACACCATATTTCAAAATGTGCCATTTTTTTTGCAG